CTGGAACTTTGTGGTGCCGAACTTCTGTCTAGGTTCATCGAACGTATTCGAGGCATTGGCTTTTGCTGGTGCGACTCAACGGTTGCCCTTTTATGGGTCCGAGACAAGCCCTCCAGATTTAACATTTTTGTAGCAAGCCGAGTTTCTGCCATTCAAGAGATTCGTGCGGCTAGCTCAGAAGATTGTGCGTTCGTCCCACCAAATTTATATGACGTGATTGCCCGTGGATCAGTGAGAAAACAAAGTGTTCAAATGGTAACAGTGGGATTTATTCTCGTGGTATTAGTACAGCGGGTGTGTGGCTGGGCTGGCTTCGGTATCTCCTGGCTCTGGTTCCGCCGGCTGCTGGCGCTCCTCTTTCTGGCTCCTCGACGCGTTGACTCGGCTTCCACTGGCTCTGGGTTTCGGGACGCTCGTAGTGGCCGCTTCTGCTGGCTTGCCGACGCGCTGCCTCGGGGTCGCTTGTTGCGCCTTAGACTCGCAGAGAGTTCGGCCTTGTGGGCTTAGGGAAGCGTCACCGTTCTCAGACTAGGGTGAACAAGCCTTGCTCTCCAGCCCGACGCCTGTCGAGGCAATAAATGTCCCTTTCTCTGTAACGGACGGACCCGCTAGGTTCTTGTGAAGATCGCGCTGACAGTCAAGGCTGCCGCCAGGAAGCTGCCTAGCAGTTCACTTTGCTTTCCGCCTAGCGCAGACGTGCGTGACGTCCGCGACGCTTCTGCGCTCCCCAATGAGCTCCGCGCGGCGATGTTAACGTGGCTGCCGGAAATGTCTGCTGGCGTCGCTGTCGATGTCCTCTGCGCTGTCTCCTGACCAGAGGCTTTTCGTTCTGGCACACGGGGAGTTGGGCGGTTGCTGTTCGGGAACTTCGCCGGTAATCGCAGCCACTTGTGTCTCAGTTCGGAGATTCCTGATGTCCCAATTCCGAACGTCTCGACGTGGCAATTTTGCTACTTGTATGCTTCCCACGGCGCTGCTTCCGACGACTCGCTTGGTTGTGGCTCCCTCGTAGATTACTTGCTTGACTGACTGTTCACTTGGTACTTTAACTGATCTTGAAGGTTTGGTTCCTCGTGATCGACTGATCCAGCTGCCAGCGCTCTGCGGCCTCTCTCGCTCTCCATCCTTGGTCTCCAAACTCTCTCGATCTCCATCCTTGGTCTCCAAACTCTCTCGCTCTCCATCCTTGGTCTCCAAACTCTCCTCGCCGCGCCGTTACTAAGCGAATTCGCCGCGTATCTGGTAAGCGACCGGCCATCTGCTGCTGCTTCTATTTTTGGGGAGTTAGTCAACTCCTCACAAGCCAATGTTGTTCTATGTTAGGAACCAAGGCGTGGCCGCACTTTGGGGCCTAGTGTAGTGCCGTGCGCAGAGGGTGAAAGATAGAACGGTAAAACACCGCACCTTGGACCCTTATGTGGTGCCGTACGCAGAGGGCGAAAGGTCGAACTGTAAAACGGAGGACTTTGGACTGTGGTATGGGGACGTGTGCACTGGAGACAAGGAGAGACCGAGGATTAGCGGTACTAACAGGCCCAGCGCTGAAAGTTGGACCAGTCATCAAGATTAGAACGCGAGTAAGAACGTTAAGCAAAATCAAAGTCAAGAGATACAGCGTGAAAGTCAAAAAGGAAAGACGCTACGTAGAGATTCGGACGATAATCTCCAAATAAAAAAGGTAGCTGAGTCCTTAACGATAAATACACAGTCAAGGATTGGAGACCGGTCGACGTTGCGGGACGTGGCGGTGCCTAATAGTTAAGCAGGATTGAGCAGGCATGACCGGTGTATCTTTCGTCCTATGTGGATTATGATTGTGACACACGATGTATGTCTGGAACGCAGTCGTTGACTACTGGTCGGTACGGAGGCGATCCATCTCAACGAGATCTCAGGTCATACGGACAGACGGACACCAGTGATCCGGACAAGAATATAACACTAACGGGTCGGAGACGTTCTTTACTGTACATACTTTCCCCGCATACATAACCTTTATCTCTTCGATTACGGTATAATATAAAAGCATCCACATGATTTTTTTTTCGTCACAAAGTTATTTTAGAATTTTTTTACGCTGAAGGTGATTTAATTGACATATCAAAGGCTTTTGTTAAGCTAATAAGCTTTTTTATTAGCTGTTGTAAAATCTTAAGAAATGTTCTTGGCATGGCTTGTGTGATGACTAACAATGAAAGGAGTGTGTTTAAATCGAGAGCAAATTCGTACTACTTTTTAAAAGTTAGCCAGCCGAACGCTGGGCATAAGAATGCAAGGCAAGAGAGCGTGATCGAAAGAGATGCTTATTGCGATGCAGCTGATATAAGAGCTTGGATTAAGAGACGTTAATAAACTGTTGTGGCTGACCAGACATACTCTCCCCGTTTGAAGTCTGGGTTTCAACATCATCATTAAGGCGCAGCAGACACAGCTTGCTCACTGCTCGTAACTTTTGCCAGGACCAAGTCATCGATGATCAGACCAGGCTTTGGGGCAGCAGTGTCAAGTATTCTTCTTTCCATCCATTACTTCTGTAAGTAAGCCATGTGTTGCCATCCATCTAGGCGATTCAAGTTAAGGCTGGTCACATCAGGCTCGGTTAACGCATCCAGATCAGCTGGGTTCTCTGAAATCGAGACTAAGGGTCGAGAATAAACTAACTAGAATTATTAACTATCAAGCCCCGGAACTGAAGGGCCAACGGCGCGATAGAAATAACGCTTAGCCATCTTCACAGCCGCTTCCACCACCAAAGTGCGGTGACATCTGAAGAATAAAACACCAATCAATGGACTCCGAAAAACAAAAGTCCAATGGAAATTTCTGGTGATCGTCTTAGTGCAAGCAGCTAATTTCGCGCGCCAACACAGTTAGTTGCATTTTCAGATCAAATATGCCGCGGCTTTCTTATGGTGCATATAAATCGCTTAAGACCATAAAGAAACGACATCGTCAAGGGATCCTTGATCAGATCCAAATAAATAGCTTTCGTGACAATACAAACGAAGACGCAATCGTAGCATTTTACTGGAGGCTTGTTGCGCACTTCCAACTTTTAGAGGAATGGCCTGCCAAAATCAATGCCAGTGACTTCAAATGAATGAAATCCAACAAGTCGCTCCTTTGAAGGATCCGCCTTTATATGTTCTACTAATCGAGGCTGCGCTCGATAGCATCTAACACATTTGTTAACTGCCTAGTATACCATGTTCCTCCCTTCAATAGGCCAATACTGGGATCGAATTAGGCCAAGTAGTGCTCGGTGACAAGTGTGCAGATTGCCTTCATGGAAGTGAGTAATGATGGCCCTAATGACCGAATGACTATGTGGTAATATAATTGGGTGACGGCCAATAAAATTTGGTGACGAGTTCCTCAGTCGGCCATCCCTTCTAAGAAGCCGAAACTGGTCAATGAAAGGCGAAAGCAAAGCGAGCGAGCTAGATGAGTCTACTAATCCCCTCGAATGCAGCGATTTTATGTAGTCCCATAAATGAGAGCGCTGGATAAGACGAAGCAACAGCTGAGTACCATTTTAATATCGGCCACCGTGAGCGTGGGGTGACGGATGCGATTACTAAACTCATAGATGTATCCGAAAACTTTTGAAGCGCAGCAAAAGAATTTGCAAATTTGGAGCTGGCTACTATGTCTTCGTATGGAGACTTTATTAGCAGGACCCCTGGGCGAAGCGCAAATGTTTGGTTTTCAGCGTTGATTGGGGATGGCCAGTCAGCTTTGAAGCCACAGAGAAATGGAGGTCCATGACCCCAGAAAGGAGACTCGTTTAGTTAAGTGGGAACAGCACCGCAGGACAGAATGCCGGTTGGAATTAAGGATGTTGGAACGTAAAGGCACTCCACTGACTCAGTTAACTCTTGAACAGAAACTTGGTTTGCTGCAAAAATGTTGAATCTGAAGGGCTCGACTTTGAACAAAGCAATGGAGCTTGTCCTTTGTAAGCCATGCTGGCATCACAAATTCCATTCTTAGCATTTGGAGAACGATCCAAACGAAGAAATGACAAGTGGCTAATCTGCCCGAAACTCTTGCAAGATAACTTCTCCATGCACAGTTACTAAAAAAAAATTTTAGTTCTTGTGATTACTGGCCCAACCAAACCGAGTGAATCGACAGATTGCATATGGGGGGTTAATGCTGAATGTAAGACCGAAAAGGAGAACCGTAACTGGTCAGAAGCAAGATCCCAAGCGATATCGATCGTTTTGGTTAAGGTTCGTACAGCCAAAAATGATGCTGGTTTCGTTCCATAAGTAACAGAGTTTAACTTGAACATAGATATTCTGTTTGCGAACCGTAACAGAACGGTCCATTGTGTGAACGAAACCAAAGAAGAATCTGGAACATTTTATGCTGAATTACGGGACACGCCATAAACACGTAGTTGAGAGAATAGCCAGATGAACAGGCCGCAGATCCATCAAAAACTAGCTGAAGTTAGCGGCAGAGACTAATGAAATATGCCCTAAATCCTATATGGATCCCACATTTTGAGCCTTCAAGGCTGGCCGACAATGCATCTTTCTCTCTAAGGAAAAGAATCTACGATGAGCTTGCTGGTAGGACTCTCTCAACAGATCAAGATTCAGTTTAGAAGGTTATCGAACAGAATAAACACCAGCTTGCAAAGGAACGACATGCCTTAACCGATCCAAACTATTCTCTTTACTAGCGAAAGGTAGATCATTAGACGAGCCATGGGAGCCGCCATTACCTCCAGAAACAACTCAGCCCAGGTAGGTCTTTTAATGAGAGGTACAATAGCTCGTAGAAAAGACTATCTCCAATTAAGAGGTCCACACGCTGGAAAGCATACAACTTGAGGTGTATTCCAGTTTCCGATGTCTACATTGAAACTAGGCTGTCGCTCGTGCGATTACTACGGTAGTGTTAACCGAGTGATCATCCGTCAAAAAATTAGAGCCTATTCCTGATACAGGCGCTAAAGTCCTTATTTTCTTTGTTTGCAGCTGGTGCAGCTGAGAGCCCGAATCAAGAGGAGCTTAACAACGAAAGAAAACCCAAGAAAGATTTTTTACTAAAACGCTGGCTATTGCTAAGTGCACAGTATCATTACTAAAATCGTGTGCAACAAGTACAGAGGGTTCTATGACACGATTTAGTGAGGCAGAGTTAAGCGCTTCTGGAGACATGTACGGCATTTAATGGAATGGCATTGCCTCACTTGATGACAAGTCTTAAGGCAATTTATGCAAAGGGCGAGCCTTTTTGCTTCCTGAAGGCGATTCGTAGAGGTAAGGTTTTTAAAATTCTGACAATGGTAAACAGAGTGACCCGCATCATTATAGAATGCACAAGTCCAAGGATTAAGATTTGTGGCAACAATTGCAGATCTACGCGTATCGGAAAATGGGTTACTTCTCACCTGATTGCCCCCAAAAATCTTTTTTCTTAAATAACTTCTAAACGAAGCATTAAATTCTTACAAATGAAATGACATACGACGGCTATTATCAGCAGGAATACATAATGAATACATAAATAAAAATATTTAATCGACCAAAAGAAGCTTGAAGTTCCTTTTAAATTGGGCTTTAGTTTAATGCGTGGCTTTTATAGTACATGGCAAAACATATGACTTTGCTATACCGCATGAGGACTGCTCCCAAAGCATAGTAGCTGGTATTTGTAATAGGCAAAAACTGTTTTTGAAGTCGGTCTAGACTACAATTTGGTCGCTTTTTATTAGCATTTTGAGATTTTCGAATAATTCAAAAAATTCAATGTCTTTTGTATTTATTGTAACATTTTTTTCACATATTTTATTTAATGTTTTAGCAAATTTAAAGATGTATATATCGTCTTGGGTAGCTACCCAGATAACGTTTAACTTTTTTGTATTTCGTCAATTTCAACTCAGTCAGTAAAAACTTTATTTCATAATTTGAAAACACAAATTTATCAATTTGAAGTTTTAAGTTGTTCAAACTAGGCCAAAGGGCAATCGCAGGAACTCATAGTACCCGTTAAAAGTAGAAATGTTTTGATGTCACCGTAGCTCGATTTTATTTGGTAAAAACCCTTTGTTAAGTCTAGTGAAGAGAATATTTTCAATTTAACGTCTATATTAGGTGTAGGATTTCGATCTTCTATTGTTCTGGAATTAAATACTGTAATCGACCTCCATTGGTTTGAAAAGTATAATTTTTTTGGAGAAAACATAAAGGACTGCTGTATGGGCCTTTCGCCTTCCTTACTATTCCATGTGTTATAGTTATATACTAGATTCGTACAACCATATATTGAGACCACGGGTAGGTGGCGCATTTGCATATCTCCAATTCCCTTTGGTCCCATTAGCTGAGTGACGGGTATCTGATAGTCGAGGTACTCGACTATAGAATTCTTCCTTGTTTTTGTTTTACTACATACTTTTTACTACATACATACCAATTCTAGTTTTCCCTGTTAATTTGACCAACGGTACAGCTAAAAATACAAAACCAATGTTAGCCGACATTTTAAAATATGTGTCTTATATAATTGGGCTTATCTTAAATATTTTTGCTGAAACACACTCTCAATATACGACAATATTACTAAAAAACAAGGAAGAACGCTATAGTCGAGTACCTCGACTATCAGATACCCGTTACTCAGCTTAATGGAGATATGCAAGCAGCAAAGCGAGATTAAAATGCGCCACCTACCGGCGGTAGACAGATTTAAGCGTTATGGGCGTTAGAGTGGGCGTGGCAAATTTTTTTTTGGATCAATCGATAGGTATTGACGAGACCAATACATTTCAGTTATCTAGCATGAAAATTGTGGGCGTCACAGGCTTGGGCGGTTTGTGAGCGTTGAAGTGGGCGTGGCTTTTTTTAGGTCAATCGATAGGTATTGATGAGAACAATACATATCAGTTAAAATTTTTATTCTAGCACCAAAACTTTAGGAGCCACAGTATTGGGCGGTTTGTTGGCGTTAGGGTGGGCGTGGCACTCTGCTGAATCAAACTTGCGCTGCGTAAGCAGCTCTGGAATCTGCATGCCTAATCCCAATAGCCTAGTTCTTATAGTTTCCGAGATCTCAGCGTTCATCCGGACGGACAGACAGACGGACAGACATACATGGCTAGATCGACTCGGCTAGTGATCCTGATCAAGAATATATGTACTTTATGGGGTCGGAAACGCTTCCTTCTGCCTGTTACATACTTTCCGACGAATATAGTATACCCTTTTCCTCTACGAGTAACGGGTATAATTAGAACAAGAAGCCGTTTAGTAGTCAGGTTGAAGCCGGAAATAGGCAAGGAGACCTGTCATGTAGAACAAGCAGAGTTGAGGTGTGCATGGGCAGTGGCAACAGTTTAGTCGTCAGGCCGAGGCCAGAGTCATCGGAGCATGCCACACACAGACCAGAACACTATGCATTCCAACACAAACCAGAGTCAACGACGAAGCACAGCTTGTGGAGGAGAATGGGTCCGAAATTGCAAGAAGCAAAGGCCGACCGCTTAGTCGTCTGCCAACCGCCTGAGTCAACGGAAGTTATGCCCAGCTGGGTGAAGATGTGAAAGCCTTTCCTGAAATGACATTCGAAAACACCCGGACGCAGAAGGCAAAGGCATTCCGATTCATCTTCAGGAAAACACTGAAGTCAACGGTCCAGAAGTAAAGCCGCTGACACTTGGATACAGACATAGACGAAGCGGGCAAGCCAGACTTAAGCACCACCACTGTGTTCCAGAGGCCGCGATCCATTGGAGTCACTGGTCACTGGTCAGCTTGATAGCCTGCCAGACAATTAAGCGGACAAAGACGCGCACTCACTTACAAAACTTTGCAATAGCTGAAAGAAAGGCAGAGTGAATACACCTCGAAAGCTCAACTCACCACAGCTAAGCGAACACACTGACAGAACAACAACCAACCAGAACAACGGCCAACTGCAAAAACCTACTTCGAGGGCAGTGCAGGGCAAAGGAGCAGGGTAGCAAGGGCTGGAAAAGCAGGCAAGAATTAATAACAAGAACAAAACATCCTAAAAAATACATTCAAGATTCAGTTTAGAAGGTTATCGAACAGAATAAACACCAGCTTGCAAAGGAACGACATGCCTTAACCGATCCAAACTATTCTCTTTACTAGCGAAAGGTAGATCATTAGACGAGCCATGGGAGCCGCCATTACCTCCAGAAACAACTCAGCCCAGGTAGGTCTTTTAATGAGAGGTACAATAGCTCGTAGAAAAGACTATCTCCAATTAAGAGGTCCACACGCTGGAAAGCATACAACTTGAGGTGTATTCCAGTTTCCGATGTCTACATTGAAACTAGGCTGTCGCTCGTGCGATTACTACGGTAGTGTTAACCGAGTGATCATCCGTCAAAAAATTAGAGCCTATTCCTGATACAGGCGCTAAAGTCCTTATTTTCTTTGTTTGCAGCTGGTGCAGCTGAGAGCCCGAATCAAGAGGAGCTTAACAACGAAAGAAAACCCAAGAAAGATTTTTTACTAAAACGCTGGCTATTGCTAAGTGCACAGTATCATTACTAAAATCGTGTGCAACAAGTACAGAGGGTTCTATGACACGATTTAGTGAGGCAGAGTTAAGCGCTTCTGGAGACATGTACGGCATTTAATGGAATGGCATTGCCTCACTGGATGACAAGTCTTAAGGCAATTTATGCAAAGGGCGAGCCTTTTTGCTTCCTGAAGGCGATTCGTAGAGGTAAGGTTTTTAAAATTCTGACAATGGTAAACAGAGTGACCCGCATCATTATAGAATGCACAAGTCCAAGGATTAAGATTTGTGGCAACAATTGCAGATCTACGCGTATCGGAAAATGGGTTACTTCTCACCTGATTGCCCCCAAAAATCTTTTTTCTTAAATAACTTCTAAACGAAGCATTGAATTCTTACAAATGAAATGACATACGACGGCTATTATCAGCAAGAATACATAATGAATACATAAATAAAAATATTTAATCGACCAAAAGAAGCTTGAAGTTCCTTTTAAATTGGGCTTTAGTTTAATGCGTGGCTTTTATAGTACATGGCAAGACATATGACTTTGCTATACCGCATGAGGACTGCTCCCAAAGCATAGTAGCTGGTATTTGTAATAGGCAAAAACTGTTTTTGAAGTCGGTCTAGACTACAATTTGGTCGCTTTTTATTAGCATTTTGAGATTTTCGAATAATTCAAAAATTCAATGTCTTTTGTATTTATTGTAACATTTTTTTCACATATTTTATTTAATGTTTTAGCAAATTTAAAGATGTATATATCGTCTTGGGTAGCTACCCAGATAACGTTTAACTTTTTTGTATTTCGTCAATTTCAATTCAGTCAGTAAAAACTTTATTTCATAATTTGAAAACACAAATTTATCAATTTGAAGTTTTAAGTTGTTCAAACTAGGCCAAAGGGCAATCGCAGGAACTCATAGTACCCGTTAAAAGTAGAAATGTTTTGAATGTCACCGTAGCTCGATTTTATTTGGTAAAAACCCTTTGTTAAGTCTAATGAAGAGAATATTTTCAATTTTACGTCTATATTAGGTGTAGGATTTCGATCTTCTATTGTTCTGGAATTAAATACTGTAATCGACCTTCATTGGTTTGAAAAGTATAATTTAAAGGACTGCTGTATGGGCCTTTTGCCTTCCTTACTATTCCATGTGTTATAGTTATATACTAGATTCGTATAACCATATATTGAGACCACGGGTAGGTGGCGCATTTGCATATCTCCAATTCCCTTTGGTCCCATTAGCTGAGTGACGGGTATCTGATAGTCGAGGTACTCGACTATAGAATTCTTCCTTGTTTTTTTTTTACTACATACTTTTTACTACATACATACCAATTCTAGTTTTCCCTGTTAATTTGACCAACGGTACAGCTAAAAATACAAAACCAATGTTAGCCGACATTTTAAAATATGTGTCTTATATAATTGGGCTTATCTTAAATATTTTTGCTGAAACACACTCTCAATATACGACAATATTACTAAAAATCAAGGAAGAACGCTATAGTCGAGTACCTCGACTATCAGATACCCGTTACTCAGCTTAATGGAGATATGCAAGCAGCAAAGCGAGATTAAAATGCGCCACCTACCGGCGGTAGACAGATTTAAGCGTTATGGGCGTTAGAGTGGGCGTGGCAAATTTTTTTTTGCATCAATCGATAGGTATTGACGAGACCAATACATTTCAGTTATCTAGCATAAAATTGTGGGCGTCACAGGCTTGGGCGGTTTGTGAGCGTTGAAGTGGGCGTGGCTTTTTTTAGGTCAATCGATAGGTATTGATGAGAACAATACATATCAGTTAAAATTTTTATTCTAGCACCAAAACGGTAGGAGCCACAGTTTTGGGCGGTTTGTTGGCGTTAGGGTGGGCGTGGCACTCTGCTGAATCAAACTTGCGCTGCGTAAGCAGCTCTGGAATCTGCATGCCTAATCCCAATAGCCTAGTTCTTATAGTTTCCGAGATCTCAGCGTTCATCCGGACGGACAGACAGACGGACAGACATACATGGCTAGATCGACTCGGCTAGTGATCCTGATCAAGAATATATGTACTTTATGGGGTCGGAAACGCTTCCTTCTGCCTGTTACATACTTTCCGACGAGTATAGTATACCCTTTTCCTCTACGAGTAACGGGTATAATTAGAACAGGAAGCCGTTTAGTAGTCAGGTTGAAGCCGGAAATAGGCAAGGAGACCCGTCATGTAGAACAAGCAGAGTTGAGGTGTGCATGGGCAGTGGCAACAGTTTAGTCGTCAGGCCGAGGCCAGAGTCATCGGAGCATGCCACACACAGACCAGAACACTATGCATTCCAATACAAACAGAGTCAACGACGAAGCACAGCTTGTGGAGGAGAATGGGTCCGAAATTGCAAGAAGCAAAGGCCGACCGCTTAGTCGTCTGCCAACCGCCTGAGTCAACGGAAGTTATGCCCAGCTGGGTGAAGATGTGAAAGCCTTTCCTGAAATGACATTCGAAAACACCCGGACGCAGGAGGCAAAGGCATTCCGATTCATCTTCAGGAAAACACTGAAGTCAACGGTCCAGAAGTAAAGCCGCTGACACTTGGATACAGACATAGACGAAGCGGGCAAGCCAGACTTAAGCACCACCACTGTGTTCCAGAGGCCGCGATCCATTGGAGTCACTGGTCACTGGTCAGCTTGATAGCCTGCCAGACCTTTAAGCGGACAAAGACGCGCACTCACTTACAAAACTTTGCAATAGCTGAAAGAAAGGCAGAGTGAATACACCTCGAAAGCTCAACTCACCACAGCTAAGCGAACACACTGACAGAACAACAACCAACCAGAACAACGGCCAACTGCAAAAACCTACTTCGAGGGCAGTGCAGGGCAAAGGAGCAGGGTAGCAAGGGCTGGAAAAGCAGGCAAGAATTAATAACAAGAACAAAACATCCTAAAAAATACATTCAAGATTCAGTTTAGAAGGTTATCGAACAGAATAAACACCAGCTTGCAAAGGAACGACATGCCTTAACCGATCCAAACTATTCTCTTTACTAGCCAAAGGTAGATCATTAGACGAGCCATGGGAGCCGCCATTACCTCCAGAAACAACTCAGCCCAGGTAGGTCTTTTAATGAGAGGTACAATAGCTCGTAGAAAAGACTATCTCCAATTAAGAGGTCCACACGCTGGAAAGCATACAACTTGAGGTGTATTCCAGTTTCCGATGTCTACATTGAAACTAGGCTGTCGCTCGTGCGATTACTACGGTAGTGTTAACCGAGTGATCATCCGTCAAAAAATTAGAGCCTATTCCTGATACAGGCGCTAAAGTCCTTATTTTCTTTGTTTGCAGCTGGTGCAGCTGAGAGCCCGAATCAAGAGGAGCTTAACAACGAAAGAAAACCCAAGAAAGATTTTTTACTAAAACGCTGGCTATTGCTAAGTGCACAGTATCATTACTAAAATCGTGTGCAACAAGTACAGAGGGTTCTATGACACGATTTAGTGAGGCAGAGTTAAGCGCTTCTGGAGACATGTACGGCATTTAATGGAATGGCATTGCCTCACTTGATGACAAGTCTTAAGGCAATTTATGCAAAGGGCGAGCCTTTTTGCTTCCTGAAGGCGATTCGTAGAGGTAAGGTTTTTAAAATTCTGACAATGGTAAACAGAGTGACCCGCATCATTATAGAATGCACAAGTCCAAGGATTAAGATTTGTGGCAACAATTGCAGATCTACGCGTATCGGAAAATGGGTTACTTCTCACCTGATTGCCCCCAAAAATCTTTTTTCTTAAATAACTTCTAAACGAAGCATTATTATGTATGTAGTAAAAAGTATGTAGTAAAAAAAAAACAAGGAAGAACGCTATAGTCGAGTACCTCGACTATCAGATACCCGTTACTCAGCTTAATGGAGATATGCAAGCAGCAAAGCGAGATTAAAATGCGCCACCTACCGGCGGTAGACAGATTTAAGCGTTATGGGCGTTAGAGTGGGCGTGGCAAATTTTTTTTTGGATCAATCGATAGGTATTGACGAGACCAATACATTTCAGTTATCTAGCATGAAAATTGTGGGCGTCACAGGCTTGGGCGGTTTGTGAGCGTTGAAGTGGGCGTGGCTTTTTTTAGGTCAATCGATAGGTATTGATGAGAACAATACATATCAGTTAAAATTTTTATTCTAGCACCAAAACGGTAGGAGCCACAGTATTGGGCGGTTTGTTGGCGTTAGGGTGGGCGTGGCACTCTGCTGAATCAAACTTGCGCTGCGTAAGCAGCTCTGGAATCTGCATGCCTAATCCCAATAGCCTAGTTCTTATAGTTTCCGAGATCTCAGCGTTCATCCGGACGGACAGACAGACGGACAGACATACATGGCTAGATCGACTCGGCTAGTGATCCTGATCAAGAATATATGTACTTTATGGGGTCGGAAACGCTTCCTTCTGCCTGTTACATACTTTCCGACGAATATAGTATACCCTTTTCCTCTACGAGTAACGGGTATAATTAGAACAAGAAGCCGTTTAGTAGTCAGGTTGAAGCCGGAAATAGGCAAGGAGACCGTCATGTAGAACAAGCAGAGTTGAGGTGTGCATGGGCAGTGGCAACAGTTTAGTCGTCAGGCCGAGGCCAGAGTCATCGGAGCATGCCACACACAGACCAGAACACTATGCATTCCAACACAAACCAGAGTCAACGACGAAGCACAGCTTGTGGAGGAGAATGGGTCCGAAATTGCAAGAAGCAAAGGCCGACCGCTTAGTCGTCTGCCAACCGCTGAGTCAACGGAAGTTATGCCCAGCTGGGTGAAGATGTGAAAGCCTTTCCTGAAATGACATTCGAAAACACCCGGACGCAGGAGGCAAAAGCATTCCGATTCATCTTCAGGAAAACACTGAAGTCAACGGTCCAGAAGTAAAGCCACTGACACTTGGATACAGACATAGACGAAGCGGGCAAGCCAGACTTAAGCACCACCACTGTGTTCCAGAGGCCGCGATCCATTGGAGTCACTGGTCACTGGTCAGCTTGATAGCCTGCCAGACAATTAAGCGGACAAAGACGCGCACTCACTTACAAAACTTTGCAATAGCTGAAAGAAAGGCAGAGTGAATACACCTCGAAAGCTCAACTCACCACAGCTAAGCGAACACACTGACAGAACAACAACCAACCAGAACAACGGCCAACTGAAAAACCTACTTCGAGGGCAGTGCAGGGCAAAGGAGCAGGGTAGCAAGGGCTGGAAAAGCAGGCAAGAATTAATAACAAGAACAAAACATCCTAAAAAATACATTCAAGATTCAGTTTAGAAGGTTATCGAACAGAATAAACACCAGCTTGCAAAGGAACGACATGCCTTAACCGATCCAAACTATTCTCTTTACTAGCGAAAGGTAGATCATTAGACGAGCCATGGGAGCCGCCATTACCTCCAGAAACAACTCAGCCCAGGTAGGTCTTTTAATGAGAGGTACAATAGCTCGTAGAAAAGACTATCTCCAATTAAGAGGTCCACACGCTGGAAAGCATACAACTTGAGGTGTATTCCAGTTTCCGATGTCTACATTGAAACTAGGCTGTCGCTCGTGCGATTACTACGGTAGTGTTAACCGAGTGATCATCCGTCAAAAAATTAGAGCCTATTCCTGATACAGGCGCTAAAGTCCTTATTTTCTTTGTTTGCAGCTGGTGCAGCTGAGAGCCCGAATCAAGAGGAGCTTAACAACGAAAGAAAACCCAAGAAAGATTTTTTACTAAAACGCTGGCTATTGCTAAGTGCACAGTATCATTACTAAAATCGTGTGCAACAAGTACAGAGGGTTCTATGACACGATTTAGTGAGGCAGAGTTAAGCGCTTCTGGAGACATGTACGGCATTTAATGGAATGGCATTGCCTCACTTGATGACAAGTCTTAAGGCAATTTATGCAAAGGGCGAGCCTTTTTGCTTCCTGAAGGCGATTCGTAGAGGTAAGGTTTTTAAAATTCTGACAATGGTAAACAGAGTGACCCGCATCATTATAGAATGCACAAGTCCAAGGATTAAGATTTGTGGCAACAATTGCAGATCTACGCGTATCGGAAAATGGGTTACTTCTCACCTGATTGCCCCCAAAAATCTTTTTTCTTAAATAACTTCTAAACGAAGCATTAATTCTTACAAATGAAATGACATACGACGGCTATTATCAGCAGAATACATAATGAATACATAAATAAAAATATTTAATCGACCAAAAGAAGCTTGAAGTTCCTTTTAAATTGGGGTTTAGTTTAATGCGTGGCTTTTATAGTACATGGCAAACATATGACTTTGCTATACCGCATGAGGACTGCTCCCAAAGCATAGTAGCTGGTATTTGTAATAGGCAAAAACTGTTTTTGAAGTCGGTCTAGACTACAATTTGGTCGCTTTTTATTAGCATTTTGAGATTTTCGAATAATTCAAAAATTCAATGTCTGTTGTATTTATTGTAACATTTTTTCACATATTTTATTTAATGTTTTAGCAAATTTAAAGATGTATATATCGTCTTGGGTAGCTACCCAGATAACGTTTAACTTTTTTGTATTTCGTCAATTTCAATTCAGTCAGTAAAAACTTTATTTCATAATTTGAAAACACAAATTTATCAATTTGAAGTTTTAAGTTGTTCAAACTAGGCCAAAGGGCAATCGCAGGAACTCATAGTACCCGTTAAAAGTAGAAATGTTTTGAATGTCACCGTAGCTCGATTTTATTTGGTAAAAACCCTTTGTTAAGTCTAGTGAAGAGAATATTTTCAATTTTACGTCTATATTAGGTGTAGGATTTCGATCTTCTATTGTTCTGGAATTAAATACTGTAATCGACCTCCATTGGTTTGAAAAGTATAATTTTTTTGGAGAAAACATAAAGGACTGCTGTATGGGCCTTTCGCCTTCCTTACTATTCCATGTGTTATAGTTATATACTAGATTCGTATAACCATATATTGAGACCACGGGTAGGTGGCGCATTTGCATATCTCCAATTCCCTTTGGTCCCATTAGCTGAGTGACGGGTATCTGATAGTCGAGGTACTCGACTATAGAATTCTCCTTGTTTTTTTTTTTTTTACTACATACTTTTTACTACATACATACAATTCTAGTTTTCCCTGTTAATTTGACCAACGGACAGCTAAAAATACAAAACCAATGTTAGCCGACATTTTAAAATATGTGTCTTATATTGGGCTTATCTTAAATATTTTTGCTGAAACACACTCTCAATATACGACAATATTACTAAAAAACAAGGAAGAACGCTATAGTCGAGTACCTCGACTATCAGATACCCGTTACTCAGCTTAATGGAGATATGCAAGCAGCAAAGCGAGATTAAAATGCGCCACCTACCGGCGGTAGACAGATTTAAGCGTTATGGGCGTTAGAGTGGGCGTGGCAAATTTTTTTTGGATCAATCGATAGGTATTGACGAGACCAATACATTTCAGTTATCTAGCATGAAAATTGTGGGCGTCACAGGCTTGGGCGGTTTGTGAGCGTTGAAGTGGGCGTGGCTTTTTTTAGGTCAATCGATAGGTATTGATGAGAACAATACATATAGTTAAAATTTTTATTCTAGCACCAAAACGGTAGGAGCCACAGTTTGGGCGGTTTGTTGGCGTTAGGGTGGGCGTGGCACTCTGCTGAATCAAACTTGCGCTGGTAAGCACTCTGGAATCTGCATGCCTAATCCCAATAGCCTAGTTCTTATAGTTTCCGAGATCTCAGCGTTCATCCGGACGGACAGACAGACGGACAGACATACATGGCTAGATCGACTCGGCTAGTGATCCTGATCAAGAATATATGTACTTTATGGGGTCGGAAACGCTTCCTTCTGCCTGTTACATACTTTCCGACGAATATAGTATACCCTTTTCCTCTACGAGTAACGGGTATAATTAGAACAAGAAGCCGTTTAGTAGTCAGGTTGAAGCCGGAAATAGGCAAGGAGACCCGTCATATAGAACAAGCAGAGTTGAGGTGTGCATGGGCAGTGGCAACAGTTTAGTCGTCAGGCCGAGGCCAGAGTCATCGGAGCATGCACACACAGACCAGAACACTATGCATTCCAACACAAACCAGAGTCAACGACGAAGCACAGCTTGTGGAGGAGAATGGGTCCGAAATTGCAAGAAGCAAAGGCCGACCGCTTAGTCGTCTGCCAACCGCCTGAGTCAACGGAAGTTATGCCCAGCTGGGTGAAGATGTGAAAGCCTTTCCTGAAATGACATTCGAAAACACCCGGACGCAGGAGGCAAAGGCATTCCGATTCATCTTCAGGAAAACACTGAAGTCAACGGTCCAGAAGTAAAGCCGCTGACACTTGGATACAGACATAGACGAAGCGGGCAAGCCAGACTTAAGCACCACCACTGTGTTCCAGAGGCCGCGATCCATTGGAGTCACTGGTCACTGGTCAGCTTGATAGCCTGCCAGACAATTAAGCGGACAAAGACGCGCACTCACTTACAAAACTTTGCAATAGCTGAAAGAAAGGCAGAGTGAATACACCTCGAAAGCTCAACTCACCACAGCTAAGCGAACACACTGAAGAACAACAACCAACCAGAACAACGGCCAACTGCAAAAACCTACTTCGAGGGCAGTGCAGGGCAAAGGAGCAGGGTAGCAAGGGCTGGAAAAGCAGGCAAGAATTAATAACAAGAACAAAACATCCTAAAAAATACATTCAAGATTCAGTTTAGAAGGTTATCGAACAGAATAAACACCAGCTTGCAAAGGAACGACATGCCTTAACCGATCCAAACTATTCTCTTTACTAGCGAAAGGTAGATCATTAGACGAGCCATGGGAGCCGCCATTACCTCCAGAAACAACTCAGCCCAGGTAGGTCTTTTAATGAGAGGTACAATAGCTCGTAGAAAAGACTATCTCCAATTAAGAGGTCCACACGCTGGAAAGCATACAACTTGAGGTGTATTCCAGTTTCCGATGTCTACATTGAAACTAGGCTGTCGCTCGTGCGATTACTACGGTAGTGTTAACCGAGTGATCATCCGTCAAAAAATTAGAGCCTATTCCTGATACAGGCGCTAAAGTCCTTATTTTCTTTGTTTGCAGCTGGTGCAGCTGAGAGCCCGAATCAAGAGGAGCTTAACAACGAAAGAAAACCCAAGAAAGATTTTTTACTAAAACGCTGGCTATTGCTAAGTGCACAGTATCATTACTAAAATCGTGTGCAACAAGTACAGAGGGTTCTATGACACGATTTAGTGAGGCAGAGTTAAGCGCTTCTGGAGACATGTACGGCATTTAATGGAATGGCATTGCCTCACTTGATGACAAGTCTTAAGGCAATTTATGCAAAGGGCGAGCCTTTTTGCTTCCTGAAGGCGATTCGTAGAGGTAAGGTTTTTAAAATTCTGACAATGGTAAACAGAGTGACCCGCATCATTATAGAATGCACAAGTCCAAGGATTAAGATTTGTGGCAACAATTGCAGATCTACGCGTATCGGAAAATGGGTTACTTCTCACCTGATTGCCCCCAAAAATCTTTTTTCTTAAATAACTTCTAAACGAAGCATTGAATTCTTACAAATGAAATGACATACGACGGCTATTATCAGCAGGAATACATAATGAATACATAAATAAAAATATTAAATCGACCAAAAGAAGCTTGAAGTTCCTTTTAAATTGGGCTTTAGTTTAATGCATGGCTTTTATAGTACATGGCATAACATATGACTTCGCTATACCGCATGAGGACTGCTCCCAAGGCAAAGTAGCTGGTATTTGTAATAGGCAAAAACTGTTTTTGAAGTCGGTCTAGACTACTATTTGGTCGCTTTTTATTAGCATTTTGAGATTTTCGAATAATTCTAAAATTCAATGTCTGTTGTATTTATTGTAACATTTTTTTCACATATTTTATTTAATGTTTTAGCAAATTTAAAGATGTATATATCGTCTTGGGTAGCTACCCAGATAACGTTTAACTTTTTTGTATTTCGTCAATTTCAACTCAGTCAGTAAAAATTTATTTCATAATTTGAATACACAAATTTATCAATTTGAAGTTTTAAGTTGTTCAAACTAGGCCAAAGGGCAATCGCAGGAACTCATAGTACCCGTTAAAAGTAGAAATGTTTTGAATGTCACCGTAGCTCGTTTTAATTTGGTAAAAACCCTTTGTTAAGTCTAATGAAGAGAATATTTTCAATTTTACGTCTATATTAGGTGTAGGATTTCGATCTTCTATTGTTCTGGATTTAAATTTTCTGTAATCGACCTCCATTGGTTTAGGTTAGGTTCGGTTAGGTAGGAGTGGTTGGAGACTAAATATTAGTCCCCTCACTTAGGCCACAATGGGCCCCTTGTGATACCATATGATCTCTGAAAAGATCCGTTTCCCTAGCTCATGGGTTATCTGCTTTCGCGAAGTATTCTGTTTTTCTCAAGAAACATAGTAGTTTTTGAATGCTTACGTCCTGAATGGCCGCAAGGTTCGGAAGTGTGTAGCTGCTTGGGTTTGAAAGCGCTTTAGGTTATGCGCTGGGCAGAAGCATAGGAAGTGTTCGATGCTTTCCTCTTCGTCTATCTGTTTGCAGCTGCGGCAGAAGTCGTGGTTACTTAAACCCAGCCTTATCGCATGCGTCCCTATAAGACAGTGGCCCGTGAGGGCATTTAGGAGAGTGGAGATGTCTTCCCTGCTACATTGTAGGAGAGTTTTTGTTCTTTTCGAGTTGTAGCTTGGCCATGTGAGTCTAGAATTGTGGCATGTTAAAATTGAGTTCCAACGGTTGTTGGAAAGTGTATACAATCTCTGCCTGAGATGGAGCCATGGGCATACCTACCGTGTCCTTATCACGAAGGATATCGGCGGTTGTCCCCTGTCTTGCTAGCTCGTCTGCTAAGCAGTTGCCCTCAATATTGCGGGGTCCAGGCGCCCAGATGAGGTGGATTCTAGATGAGTGGCCATCTCGTTAAGAGATTTGCGGCATTCAGAGACTGTTTTTGATTTCGTTGTGTAGGAGTTGAGGGGGTTTAGGGCTGCTTGACTATCCGAGAAGATAAAAATATCTATGAGATCGAGAATTGTGTTTAGTGCTTCAGTGGCGGTGGTGCGAAGCGCCCCACAGATGCAGAGCTCTGCGCTTCTTTGGATCTTGTGAAGGATCCGGAGGTTACAGTTTTTATCTAGAGAAGGCCACCAAACGATGTTTCCGTAGAGTAGAATGGGCCTGACTATTGCAGTATATAGCCAGTGAACTATCATGGGGGAGAAACCCCACTTCCTCCCTATGGCTTTTTTACAAGCGAAGAGGGCTATGGCCGCCTTGCGTGTGCGATCTAGGATGTTATCAGTCCAGAGGAGCTTTTTGTCAAGAATGACACCTAGGTACTTTGCTTGGTTGCTAAAGGTTAGGCGCGATTGGTGTAGTTTTGGGGGAACTAGAATTGGTACCTTATACTTCCTTGTAAAGAGAACCAGTTCGGTCTTTTCTGGGTTAACTCCCAGTCCACAGCCAGCAGTCCACCGGGAGAGGGTGGATAGGGCTGTCTCCATTAGGTTGCAAAGGGTTTGTGGGAATTTGCCCTGCAGTAGGATAACCACGTCATCCGCGTAGGCTACCACTTTTGTGCCCGCCTCTTCTAGAAGTGATAGCAGTTGGTTGACCACTACAACCCATAGAAGAGGTGAGAGTACGCCCCCTTGTGGGGTTCCTCTACTGACGTTCCTGGTCGAGTGGGCCGATCCCATAGTGGAGTACACTACTCTGCTGATTAGCATGAGGACTCATGTGTATGAGTCCCACTATGGGCCGCTCAATGCCCAGTTCAGTCAGAGCACCAGTAATCGCCGTTGGGGTGACGTTGTTAAAGGCGCCTTCTACGTCTAGAAAGGCTGCCAGAGAGTATTCCTTATACTGGACACTAGGGAGTGGAGGGCGGTATCTGTTGATCTGCCCTTACGGTACGCGTGTTGTGCGTCAGAGAGTAGGCTTTAGTCGATGGTTAGCCTGATATGGGTGTCAATTAACCTTTCCAGGGTCTTCAACATGAAGGAAGAGAAACTAATCGGGCTGAAGTACTTTGGGTTGGTCTGGGAGGGTTTGCCGGCCTTCGGTGTAAAAATTACCTTAACGTCCAGCCACCTTGTTGGAATATGGTTTAGAGCAAGGCAGCCGTGGAAGATGGCTGTCAGCCAGGGTAGGGAAATATCTAGTGTCTAGTGTTGTCTGTACTCTGGTCGTCTAAGTTCTCCTCTATGCAGAGGTCCTCCGCTACATGGGTGTTTTTAAAGAAGTGGGTGTCTAACAGTAGTTCAAGGCTTTCCTGACTGTTTTCCCTCCAGCTGTCAGCATTGGTTTTTAGATAGCCAATGGTTGCTGGAGATTTTGCTAAAATTCTTTTGAGTCTGGATGCTTCCGCAGTAGATTCTATGCTACTGCAGAAATGAGCCCAAGCTCTTCGTTTTGATATTCTACTTTCATTTTTGTATAGGCTTAGTTTTGTATGTATATTCAAGGAAGATTCGCTATTGTTGTATTTCGCTCTACTAAAGTAAGTTCTACACTCTCTTTTAAGGTTCGTCAGGGTTGCGTTCCTAATGGGGTTTTGTGCTTTGCTTTGACTGTTCTGCTTGTGCAAGCGCTTTTTAAGGCCTCACCGCAGATATCAGTAAAAGTGTTAACTAGGTTATCTAATTTTTGACCGTTTCGTATGTGCTTCGGTGGAGCGTGTAGGTTCCTGTTGAGGAGATTTTTTTCAGTATCCCCAGTTGGTTAATCTTAGATTAGTAATGTGCTCGGCGGGAGGATATTCTAGACTTATTGTAAATTCTATGTATCGGTGGTCCGAGAATGAGTGTTCGATCCCCACCTTCCACGCGTCTAGCTGGTTAAGTAAGGGATCAGATATTAGAGTAATGTCTAGTACTTTCCTCCTATTTCTAGTGATGAAAGTTGGGTCATTACCTTTGTTGCAGATGAATAGATTTGATTGAAGGAAATAGTCGTAGAGTAACTCACCCCTTTCGTTGGTGTTTGTACTTCCCCATTGTGTGTGGTGTGAGTTAGCGTCCCCACCCAGGATGAGTTCCTTAGATGAGTGAGTGCGTATGAGTTCTTGTGTAGTGGTGTTTGGTAGTGGCCCTTCGTAGTCGTGAGCCAGATAGAATGATGCTATGGTGTGATGGGTGTGTTCGTTTAGCTCCAGTCTGACCGTGGTAAGGTCGCCTTCGCTAAACTGTGGAATAAGAAATGTATTAAAGTGTGACTTTGTAAGAATGCAGGTTCTGGTTTTACCCTTGTCCTTGGTGTAAAAAAAGTTTGTATAGGGGGGTTGATAAGCCACAGATGTTGTTACCAACAATCCATGACTCTTGAATGAGGACTACGTCTATGTTGCCTGTTGCCAGGCGGGTGAGGAGGGCAGCGGATGCTGCCTTGCTGTGGTGCAGATTAATTTGCAGAAACTGCACCATCTTTGGGACTGGGCTCGGGCTGGGTACCCTCCGCTTCCTCCGCTATGTCCTGGAGAACAGAGCGCCCTGGTCGGGTTGTGTCCTGGGTGCACAGCTGCTTCAGGCTCTCTGTCAGCTCCGAGTCGGTTGACACGTAGCCGGTGAGGGTGGCCTCTTCGTGATCTGGTTCGTCGTCGCTCGGGGGTTCGTACGACGCGCAGGCAGCCAGGTTGTCTGCCGCCAACTTATCGGTGTCGTATATGCGTAACTGCACCTTATCGAACCCGTAGTTCACTCTGTGTTGTTGGGCTGCGAGAGGTTCCAAGCAGGCCTGGTTCAGGAGGATAACCACGCTCATGGTGACTCGCTCGGTTTTCTCCGCCTTGACCACCTTCCAACCGTCTGTTGGAAGTTTTGGGTTCAACCTGGTCAGCAGGCTGAGTATAGCCTCTGGTTCCGATGGTTCCGACGGCAGCCACACCCTCGCTCTCGGTTGAGACGGGATGTCTGCAGCCTCACAAACTGCCAGCTTGGCCCCGGGGTAGACCTCGCCGACTTTGGTAATTGCAGCCTTGTAGAGTGCTGCCGATCTCTCGTCTTCGCAGGCGATCAACTTTACATTGCCCAGGTACCACCCTGCATCTGTGCAATCGGGTGGCGGGCCTGGGTTTTCGTCCAGCACTTTCAAGGCCACTGATGCAAGGGCCCGTCTAACCAGACCCCATTGGTTTCTTGGGATCCTACCGCCTTCAACGCTCTGGTCGATGACACCAATGATCTTCCGATCCTTTACCACTTCCGCAAAGGATCTCGACCATGTGCCGCGGTTGGTTACCTTAGCCTTCTTGCTCGCTGGTTGAGCTGACTCCATCGACCTCTCTCGCTTGTCGCTGTGGCTGGTGGTCATAGCGATGTCGAAGTCT